GACTCCTAAATGTTAAAGAGAGTGTCAATAAACAGAGAAAAATCGGGGGTGGGGGGGATAAGGTTTTCCATGTAAAAGAAATCATACAGCAAGAAAGAAGGAAACCAAAACAAAAAGCCCAGGTATTTCTAGGTAAGAAGATCATGCAGTAGAAGGTTAGATTATTAAAAAGGAAGAAAAAGAAATGAAAGATTAGAATCAGAGAGAAGAAAGTCTTCATTGCCAAGTTAGTGAAATCAAATGTATAAAATTAATTTTAAAAAAACTAAGTAAGTTCACAGCAACAAAACTCTGAAACCAACTTTGCAGAGGCAAACAGAGGAATAAGCCGTTGCTCTTAGCCTTTCCAATCCTGGGGAAGACTCGGTGGGGATGACTAAAGCAAGTGTTGACTCTTTTAGCAACAGCTAAAATCTCAACATTGTTTAACATTCATTTATGTCTGTAGACCTTGGATAGGAAATATGCAATTCAATGTAACCTTCTAGAGAAACAATGTAGGACTTCTCTATAGAAACATTTCTATAGCTTCCAAGCTAATGTTTTGTCTTTCCAGTCCAATAGCTGCACTTAAAACCATTTCTCCTCTGTGTTCTCCTGGCCTGGTGTCTCTCGGTCATGTCATAGCTAGCAGGAACAGTAGTACCACCTTTAGAAGACTGCATGGAATTCTCCAAGGCGTTGTTATATTGTAATAAAAGGCTGATTGCATGCATGTCTCTAGAGACTGCTAAAGAAACAATAGCCGGTGTGTTCAACCTGAGAATCCTTTGAAGATAATTAGATCACACTTAGTGCCCAAACGTAGGCTGGATGTTTTTGAGCAGAAGCTGATTGTGCCAGGCTAGCAAAAGATTTAGCGACTGGAGTCTTAAAGGCTGGAAGGTAAACAAGTGGCCATCTAGCTCAGAAGCAACAAAGCCCACATGGAAGAAGCAAACCAGCCTGTGTGATCACAAGGTGTTGAAGGGATGAGGTATCAGGAAGCAAAGAACAAAAAATCATATCATTGTGAATGAGGGTGAGTATGGAATGGGGACCCAAAGCCCATCTGTAGACAACTGGACATCTCCTTACAGAAGGGTCGCGGGGAGCAGACAGCCAGTCCGGGTGCAGTGTAGCAACAATGGAACATACAACTTTCCTCTAGTTCCTCGATGCTTCCTCCCCACCCACTATCATGATCCCAATTCTACCTTACAAGTCTGGCTAGACCAGAGGATGTACACTGGTACAGATAGGAACTGGAAACACAGGGAATCCAGGATGGATGATCCCTTCAGGACCAGTGACCGAGTAGAACTCTGCCACAGAGGGTTTTCAAGGGCTGATTGTTCTGGAAGTAGATCATCAGGCCTTTCACCCAGGTGCTTCCGAGGGAGGTCGTGAGCCTCCAATCTTTCAACTAGCAGCTCAGCCTGTTAACCCATGGCACCACCAAAAGAGGCCAACATTCAGAATACCTAGCAGTGGCCCTGGATCAGTGTTCCCACTGGCTTTGCAGTTAACAATCAACACTTACTCAATAGGGTACCTTAGCATTCACAGGAAGACCCCTAATTTGAGCGTACTATGTAGTAAGTGTTCGCATGTTAACCACAAGGTCTGTGGGTCAAGATGCTAAGTGGGAGAAAGATGAGGCTTTTAGCTTTTGTAAAGATTTGCAGTCTCAGAAACCCTGAGGAATAGTTCTCCTTTGTCTTCCAGGGTTGCTGTAAGTCAAGATTGACTGGCTGGCAGTGGGCTGGACTTAGAAAACTAATGTGAAAAACAGACTGAATGAAGGTGGAGATACTCTGGTAGTACCGTTTCCCCGAAAGTAAGACATCCCCCCAAAATAAGACCTACTTACAGTTTTGTACTTGCTGAAATATATGCCCCCCCCCCAAGCTACCGTCTGGACTCTGGACCATAGCGGTGGGCGCCACAGCGCAGCTCACTGTTGGCCACAGCGCAGCCGGAGCAGGCAGGAAGTGCGAGGCCTCTTTTAATAAAACAATAAATGTGTACTGTATTCTTCTTCATGGAAAAATAAGACAATCCCTGAAAATAAGACCTAGCACCTCTTTGGGAGCAAAAATTAATAAAAGACCCTGTCTTATTTTGGGGGAAACAGGCTATGATGAACTATAGCAATCAAATCCAAACTAAGGAAGAACAAAAAACAGCAAGAAGATGACAGGGCAAAAGAAAACTGTTAGAGAAATAAAATCAAAAGGCCTCAACAATGTATTGGAAACGGGACATTTAAAAATTCAAAAACAAACTCATTGCCATCAAGGGGTTTCAGACTCATAGCAACCCTACAGGACATGGTAGAATTGCCCCTGTGGGTTTCCAAGACTAAGTAGAAAGCTTATTTTTCTCCCATAAAGCAAATGGTGATTTCAAATGATCTTGCCATTAGGAGCCCAAAGTATAGCTAGCCCACGATGCCACCAGGGCTCCTGTAATGGGACATTAGGAGAGAAAAAAGATTAAAAAATAGATGTTCCGTGCCAGTGTGAACAAGAAGCCAGAGGAACTAGCATGTAATATGGGTAATACTTCAGGAACCCTGACAGTGTAATGGTTACGAGTTGAGCTGTGATCCGAAAGGTCACAGTTCAAAATACCAGCTGCTAAGCAGCAGAAAGATGAGTTTTTCTACTCCCGAAAAGAATTCCAGTTTCTGAAACCCACGGGGGCAGTTCTACCCTGTTCTCGGAGTTGGCACTGATTCAACAGTAGTGAGCTTAAGAGGAACAGCTCTGGAGGAGAACATTCACTTTCAGACGCTGCCAGATATGCCTGTGAAGATGTGCAGCACCTCCCAGAACAGATGAAATGAAAGCACAGGAAGGGAGTCCGGCTGTGCAACTATGCCCAAATCTCTACACTCAGAAATCCTCCTTCCCAATCACTGCCTTCTCTTCTCTGCCACTCCCGTTTTACCACTCCTGCTGAATTACTGAGATCAGAATCGCAACCTGACAGCCCGAACACCTGGTTTGACCCAAAGGGTATTTTTGGAACAGGAAAAAAAATGCATTTCCGAATTACGGTTATCATCATTTAAAAAGTATTGAAATTTCCCACAGGTTTTTAAACTTTCAGTTCCTCTTTAAAATATATAAGAAACAAAATTAGGACACATTCCCACATGGAGACAATATCCCCAAACCAAACCTGTTGCCTTCTGATCTGTCTCCCAAGCAACCAGCTAAACCGCAACTGATAATCTTCAGACAGGGACAGAGCTTCAGCGGCCTCTAGAGCAAGGTTTCACATATTTTTTTCTACTAGGAACCCCTTTTCACCTAAGAAACTTTCACCCGACCCAAGTACATAAAGTACACATACAAATCCAACATGGCTCTGGATGAAGTTTGTGGTTTTGATAGTACTCCACAGCACAATATCTAATCCTGGTGGATAGTTGGGGGCTCTGAGCACGTGAGCTCAGCGCAATAGCAGTGAGCTGCCTAAAGTAACACAGGCAAGCACACTGCCAAAAACACCTGAGGTTCGTGATGCACTTGACAGTGAATTGATTTTGGGTCTTTGTGTGCTCAGAATCTTTTACCATTGCCAAATTTCTCATGACTCCCACAGTTCAAGAGGCTCTGTTCCAGTGACCTTTGAATATGTGACCTCTGAGTACCCGCTCCTATTTTTCCTTTTCATTCCCATGGTCCATAAGTCAGTCCCAGCCTCACCTCACTTCAATTAGCCTTGCCACTCAATGGCAATGGATTAACTGGGGTTTTGTTTTCTAAATTCCATGTGTTCTGGTGGCTCACTGGCCTAAGGCTTGGCTACCACCTGAAAGGCTAGTAGTTTGAACCTACTCTGGCTTCATGGGTAAAAATATGGTGATCTGCTCCAGTACAGGGCAGTACAGCACTCCAGCATGGCAAACCCTAAGGCACAGTTTTACTGTCAAATAGATAGGAATGGATTCAAGAGCATCTAACAACATTCCAACCATGGGGTCCTCTGGGTATGGCAAACAAGCAGGCAAAAGATTGGAGGGTCAAGTCCAGTCAGGTGCCTCAGAAGAAAGTCCTGGCGTTTGTTTTTGTATATTTGTTTAATCAAGCACTTATGAAGCACAGTTCTGCTCTGACACCCAGGGGCCCTCATGTGTTGGAATCCATTCAGCGGCTACGGGTTCATGCCAGTCATACAAATAATGGAGGAGTGCTGTGTGCCCAGCACAGAGCTGGCAAAACCAAGTTGAAAGGAATGCTTTCTCTGCCCATCTCCAGCCACACTGGATTTTCCCAATTCGATGGGCCACGCTGGTTTCTCCATTGCATGGCCTTTTCACAAGCTGTTCCCTCTGCCCTCAAAAGTGAAGTCCAAACCATTCTCTTAATCATCCTTAAGGCTTGGTAAATTCCTCATAGATTAGAATGATCCCCTCCCCATGCTCCCATTCTAGTATTTGCTCCGTGTTTCTCCTTCTCGACCTCCACAACAGGCAGCGGCGAGCAGGACCTATCTTTTTCATCACCATATCCCTAGACCCAGGGCAGCCAGTCAAGTACATGAAAGTTAGCGTGGATCTCTGAGGCACGTGTTCTGCCACCAGGTCCACCCTGCCCACTTCCCACCTGACTTTCTCCACTCCTGTGTCCAGAATGGAAAACAACAAGCCATTACACGCCGCCTGTTAAGCTTAAAGCTGGTGGTAAGCAGGAGTGCCTGGGTTCGCGAGTTTAAAAGATTGTGCTGACTGTGAGCTGGAGAAAAGGAGAGGCCGGCGGGGAGTCCGGTTAGATTCGTCCCGTAGACTGCTTGCTGTTGACCAATACGTCTAACTGCAGTTTCTGTTACAATGTCTCGGGGCACGCCACACCTTCCCATGGAAGGAGGCAAGAGCAGCGAAATCTCCGGCCCCAGCTACCAGCGTCGAGCCCGATTCAGCGTTGCTCCTCCCCACGGATACCCCGAACCCCCAAACTCCCAAGGATTCTCCCAGATGAGTCCATTGGGCACACTCGGCGCAGCCATACCCGAGGTCGCACACGGGCCGCTCCAGGGTCAGTGGTGCTTTGGAGGACCACGAAGATGATCAAACCAGGAGGGTAGCTTGGGACAAGAGAGTTCAGGTAGGAGGAGTGAGAAGGAGAAAGGCTGAAATGCCACGCCGGCCAGGGAACCTGGAACAAGGAGCTGGGGACAAGGTTTACCGAAAAGAATCCTTGAACACTGCTACTTCAGCTGCCCTCAGGGTCTCAATTACCGGCTTAAACCAGCACGCCACCTGGGCGACAGCGAATACGTCGTATTCCCGCGACCCGCTCCGGCGACCACACGCTCCCTTTACGCAGAGCGGCCAATCGGCACAGCCAAGCCTTCCGTAGGGAGAGTCGCGCTCCTGACGGCCAATGAAATCTAAGGGCCCGCCCCTGTGCCAGCTCTGATTGGCCTGGAGTCCCGGAAGAGGCGGCCGCCGGGCAGGCGTGGCAAGATGGCGTCCTTGGATCGGGTGAAAGTGCTGGTGTTGGGGGACTCAGGTGAGTGCCTCAGACCCCCCTCCGGAGCGCCTGACACTTTTGAGTTATCTCATAACAGCCCACCCCCACCCCCTTCATTGCTTAGCTCCTAACTTCCTGCTGTTCTGCAGGTGCAGGAAGTCGCTCTTAAAGGCTAAAAACTACATTTCCCGAAGGACTTTGCTCCCTTTGACTAGGTGGCGGCGTCCTGCGGGTAAAGAGTACCGAGGCCTGATCCTCCCTGGCCGGCTCGGTTTTCCCACACCTGTCGCCCGGACGACCTCCGGTCTAGAAAGTATCATCAATCCCTTTATTTTAAAAGATATGCAGACACCGAGTATTATACAGAAATTAGTACGATCGTGTTTTCAGGGTACTAAGAAGATGTTTTTGCGAACTCTGCATTACAGCATTAGCACATTTAATCCTGAAATCAGCTCTTTTATCCCATTTTACGGATAAGAAACGTAAGGCAGAAAGAGGTAAATGACAAAACTGGTTTGAACTCCAGAATCAACGCTTGTAAACGCCAAGCTATATTAACCCAAAACCAAACCCACTGCTGTTGAGCAGATTCCAACTCAGAGCCCCTACATGGGGTTACCCAGGCAGTAGATCTTTACCAGAGCAGACAGCCTCATCGTTCTCCCACAGAGGGATTGGTTGGTTTGAACTGCTGACCTTGCAGGTAGCAGGCCAGCATGTAGCCCGCTATGCCACCAGGATTTCTTCCAAACCATATTATGAAATGAAATATCGGGGCGGGGTCCTCCTTTTTTGTTGTTTCTAATTTTTTAATTGGAAATCTTAAGAGACTGGCTATACACTTGAGTTACTAGTAGTGAGCCGAGTTCAAACCTAATACTAAAATCTATTTAAAACCTTGGACATTTAAAAACAAGAGAAGAATTCTGCATTTCCCCCCTTCTGCCTCACTTTCCATTTCTTCAACGCAATTCCTAGTCCCACATCCCATAATAACATGGAAAAATATGCCAACCTTGCATTTTCTAGAAGTGCGTTTCTGAAATTCACCTTTCCCAGTGCACTGTGAGCAAAGACACGACCAGGTGCTTGAGGTTAGAGGAGATATGTTTCAAGGAGGCTGAAAACATACCTGACAGAAACTGGAATATAAAATTGGAGTTGGGAGAGGCACTTGCACATTATTTGTATGCCATTTGCATTGTAAAGTGTTTGACAGAGCATCATTGAAGACTTTCCTAAGGAATCTGCTTTGTGAAATTCTGTAAGAATAATCCATTTTATGTCAACTCCAGTTCTTCATAGAATTTTGAAGTAGTCTTGGAGTTCATTGAATAGATTGGTTTTTGTTTTGACAGATGAACAAAGCAATGGCATGAAGGGACCTGGCAAGGGTATCATCTAATGGCGTTTAGGACAAGGAACCAGAGCTATTGGTAGCGATTCTTCTTGAGGCCCAGAAATGGAAAGAGTATCCGCTCTAGTCTGTATTTCCCTCTGTGGATTGCATCTAGCAATGTCTTCATGTTAAATACTGTTGAAAGTAGTAGATTGATGTAAAGGCTTATTATATTCCAGGTATTATAGTAAGTGCTAGAGTTTTAACTGTGAAACCAATGAGTTACATAACAGAGATAAAATTACATACTTCATAAAATGTGGAAAATAATCAGACAATTAGTATACTTTGTTCCCTTGTCATAGTCTAGCTGAGAAACAGAAGATGTGACCTTACCGGCCAGGAAAGTGATTCATGTCACACATTCACTAATGTTAGGCTACCTGTGTAGGGCCAGTCATTGCCTTTATTAGCCCCTTGAAACAGTGATTTGCTATTTGACAGGGTGGAGGATACCTTTTACACTTCTTCTGCCTTTGTATTCAAACTTCAAAGTTTATTTTTGGAGATTTCATAATTTCTAAAAGAATGACAGGAGAGGTAAAGACTTTCTTTGCACCCTAAGGAGATATTTGAGGATTTAGATCTTGGAAAATCTCAACCAATACATAGGTACTGCTTTCTTTTGTCCTTTCAGCTATTCAGGGTAGTTCATTACTCACTCCTACATTTGGAATTGGCATTTATTTAATTATTTTTGTCCGTTTCCTTCCCTGGCAAATTTAATGCGTTCTTTTTTTAAATTATTTTATTGGGGGCTCATACAATTCTTATCACAATCCATACATGCATCCATTGTGTCAAGTACATATGTACATTTGT